CCTCTTTGTGGCAGCCTCTCAAATACTGGAATACTGCTATCATATCCCCCTGGTCTTTCTTTTCTCTAGACTAGCCAAACCCAAATCCTGCCACATTCTTCATATGTTTTAGTCTCCATGCCTTTCATCGCCTTGTGTTTATTTGCACTTTTTCCAAAATCTCACCTTTTTTTATAATATGGTGACCAAAATTGGATGCACTATTCTAGGTGTGATCTTACTAAGGCTTTATAAAGTGGTACTAACACCAAGAGGATGGCAGGAGTCAGAGTAGCTCCCACCTTCGTTGCTATCCAGTTGGATTTCTGCAGTATATTTTATGCGGGGTTGCTTTTTAGCACTATTCAGAAACTTCAACAGGTCCAACATGTGAGGGCCATGTTCTTAACTGCCTTTTGGTATTGGGAACACAGAACACTGATGTTGTGGCCTGTGTGGCAGTTATGAAGGAGCCATGATGGCTCAGCAGTTTAAAGCACTGAGCTTCTCAGCTGGGAAGCTGACAGTCCAGGTTTGACACCCAAGCACTGCACAACGGGGATGGGCTCCCATTCCTTGGCCCACCTCCTGCTCACTCAGCAGTTTGAAAGCATGCAAATGCAGGCAGATTAAATAAGTACCACTTTGGTGGGAATGTAACGGCATTCCATGTACCTTCGCTGTATTGCTATGCTGGTGTTCTGACCCAGGCTTTCTTAAAAAGTATGAATCAGGGTCTTGGTCCTGGAAAAAACCCTTTTATTTACACGAATGTTAATTCCTTTCATTCACAGTCAGCAAGGCTTGGCAAACAGTCTTTCAGAGGAATATTTATCAACACGAACCTTATCTCGCTCGGAGAGCTACCAGATAATTAGTTTCCAAATGCAGGGAAAGGCTAGACTTGGCACAGAGTCTCTTATAGTCACAAACATAACTTTCCACTCTTGAACCGACCGAAGGTGGGTGAAATGAGGACCCAGACTGTGGGGACGATATGCTGACTCTGTAAACCGCTTAGAGAGGGCTGAAAGCCCTATGAAGNCCATCTACTAGCCAATGCCATCTGGCTACTACCCGGAGGAGGGCCTTCTCTGTGGCACCTCCGGCCCTCTGGAACGAACTCCCCGCAGGGATTCGGACCCTCACCTCTCTCCAGGCCTTCCGAAAAGCCGTCGAAACCTGGCTTTGCCGGCAGGCCTGGGGTTGATGAGTTCCCCTCCCCTCTCGACTTGTATGGCTGCATGACTCTTGTTATTTTAATTGTTTGTATGTCGTTTTATGTTCCCCTTTTTCCCCTATTGAATTGTTCGCCGCTCTGAGTCCTTCCCAGAGAAGGGCGGCATACAAATAATAAAATTCAATTCAATTCAAACTCTACTTTTCCATAGGCGGAAAGTATTTTCATAGGATGGAAGGTGACCAAAATATTTGGAGGAAGATGGCAGGTTTTTTTTTTAAAGACTTTTAGGTCTTCACAAGTAACTCCTACATGATACACTATTATATTGGTTTGTTTCCTCTATATTAAGCTAAAAGCAAAGCCCAGCGGTTGGGGAATCACTTTTGGGAATAGTTCCCTAAATTGGAAGGAATTAATGATCTCCAAAGGGACGTAGCTTTGAGTTTGCATTTGATGGACCCAGTTCCAAATATTTAAAGTCAATCTTTAAGCATAATTTTAGACTCAGAATCATTTTGTCGTTGGATAACACATTACATTCCTGCTTGCTACCTTAGCTAAACATATAATGAGTCATCATCTGTTCCTCCCACTATGATGCTGCATTTAGGACAATTCTTCAGCTAGATGTATCAACATTTTGCTTATGCATCAGACACTGGGAAGTGTCATCAATGTAAAGTCAGCTGTAGTCAAACTGGATGAGGTACCTTTGAATGAAAATCATTAGAAGTAAATGATCTTGACTTGAGATCCAAGAAAATGTGGATCTCGCTATATGGGAAACAAGAGGAGGAAATAAAATTATATTTTCCTTTATATTTTTATTTTTAATTTTTTTATTAAGTTGTGAAGTATTATAAAATACAAAAGTAAATAAAAGATCAATGAGGGGTGGTGGGAAAGGGAAAAGAAACAGTGACTTCCGACTGTCTCTGTTTGCAGTAGAATAAGGCATTAGCATCAAATCACAGGTTTTTGTTTTTCCACAATGTGTACAAGTCATTTCTTTCTACAAAGATTTATCAGTCTAATGATCTGTAAAACCCAGTCAGAGTTACATTCTTCTCCACATCAAGCATGAAGTTCAGAAGTGGTTTCCACATGGAAACAAACGTACGTATGTTCTTTTCTTTAATCAGAGTAGTCATAAAACGATTTTCCATTATAAGCATAGTTTGGAAAATCTGCAGGGGACAAAAATAATTTGTCCTCTAGGGTTCCTGGGACACAACTTCTAATACCATTACAAAGGCTGAGGACGGAAGATTGGGTACATTGACTTAGAATTCTCCAGTCAGGGTATTCAGCTGGTTCACACCAGTTCAAAAGGACCAGTTCCTAATTTTTTGTTGAGTTCAGTGAACCAGCTCCGAAATAGACAGACTAGTGTGCATTCATGTGCCTCCAACACACTTGCTTTCTGCAAAGCCAGATTGCAGGAAGCAAGAGATGGGAGGCACGTGAATCTAGTCTGGCCATTTTGGAGCTGGTTCGCCAAACTCAACAAAAAATTAGGAATCGGTTTTGCCGAACCAAGTGTTAAATTATTTGATTCCCACCACTGGAGTTATCCAAGACAGTTCAGGAGATTCCCCATTCAGATGTCACATGGTGTGGTTGCTCAGGTTTTCCTTTCCGTGGAAACAGAAAGATGGAAAGAGGAGACTTTTTTTTCTGGTAGGTAATGAGGATCTTTTTATTGCCTTCCAGATGGAGTTGGTCAATACGAGCAAAGTTCAAGAGTTTGTTTTGGTGGGCTTTGGAGATCAGCACCAGATACGTCACCTGCTCGTCGTTATTTTTGCTGTTCTCTACATCCTGACTTTGACAGAGAACATTGTCATTATTATGCTGGTGTTCCTAGATTCCCACTTGGCTCAACTTCCCATGTATGTCTTTCTAAGTAACTTCTCCTGGCTGGAGATGTGTTATGTGACTACAACCGTGCCTCGCATGCTTTATGACCTGGTAACTTCCAAGGGGAACATCTCTTTCCATGCCTGCTTCCTCCAGTTCTACATCTTCTTCTCCCTTGGCAGCACAGAATGCTTCTTCCTCTCAGCTATGGCTTTGGATCGCTACATAGCCATCTGCCATCCATTGCATTACCTGCAACTGATGTCCAAATTTATCTGCTCTGCCCTGGTGTCTGCCTGTTGGATCCTCGGCTTTCTGTGGTACATTGTCCCTGTGATATTAATATCCAAGTTGTCCTTCTGCGGCTCAAACATCATCAACCACTTATTATGTGACCCTGGACCAATTCTATCCTTGGCATGTCCACCCCTAGGAATGATTCCTTTTATTTGTCAAGTGTTCATGAATACCATGTTTGCAGTCAACCTAATCTTTGTTGTGCTTTCTTACGGAATGGTGATTCTCACACTGACAAAAAAATCTAGCCAAGGGCGCCAAAGGAAGACTTTCTCCACCATTTTGTTCCACCTAGTAGTAGTCACACTTTTCTATGGGTCAGTAGCAGGGGTTTACTTAACTCCCGGAGGAGAAAGTCAATCAGGTACCAACAGATTAGCAACCATCTTCTACACCATCATTACCCCACTTCTAAATCCCTTGATATACTGCCTGAGGAATGGCCAGGTGAAGGAGGCTTTGGGCAGGCTGCTGAAAAGAAAAATGAGGTTTATGTAAAACAAGAAAATATTTTGAAGCCGCTGGAGAAGAGAGTTGAGAATGAGACACATCCTCAGTTGAGGAGACTCAAATGTTCAGACCAGAAGTCATCCATCATCCTGTTAACGTGGACACATTTGGAATTTCGTGGCAGGTCCAGTGTCACATAATAGTTTCCGTGATAGCCATGGATAATCCCCAAAATTATTTAACAGAGGGCAAATTTGTATCCAAATCCAGCACTTTGGAATATGCTACTGCTTCCATTTATGCTCGTATTTTTCTGTACTCTGGATAAATATATGGGGCTCAGAAGCAGTTAGCAATGGATGGAAACTAATCAAGGAAATAAACAATCTAGAATGAAGGAAGGATTTCTTGCCAGCGAGAACAATTAAGCCGTGGAACGACTTGCCTCCAGAAGTTGTGGGTGCTCCAATTCTGAAGGCTTTTAAGAACAGATTGGATATCCATTTGTCTGAAATAGTAAAAGGTCTGCTGTCTATGCAAGGAGTTGGACAAGTCCCTCCCTCCCTCCCTCTCTCTCTCTCACACACACACATACATACACACACGCACAAACATACCTATCAATATTCATCCATCTTTCTAGCTAGCAGGCTAGCTCTATTTATCTCTATCTAGCTCTATCTATCTATCTATCTATCTATCTATCTATCTATCTATCTATCTNAAGGCGCACGGGACGCTGTTACCTTCCCACCAAAGTCCCTATTTTTCTACTTGCATTTTTACGTGCTTTCGAACTGCTAGGTTGGCAGAAGCTGGGACAAGTAATGGGAGCTCACTGCATTATGCGGTGCTAGGGATTCGAACAGCTGAACTGCCGGCCTTTCTGATCGACAAGCTCAGCATCTTAGCCACTGAGCCACCGTGTCTCAATCAATTATATATAATTATATATAATATATAATATTCTGTTCTATTCCATATTTTCTATTCTATTTTTTCTGTTTCGTTTCATATTTTCTATTCTATTCTATTCCATTCCACTTTCTCTATTCTATTTTAATTCTAATTCCACTCTACTTCAATTCAGTTGTAATTCTAATTCTATTCCTGTCCTGTTCTATTCCCTTCTAGTCTAGTCTCAGCCGTATGAGATAACACAGTAGTTCTATGCAATGTTAAGTGAAACATTTGTTTTACCATTCTCTATAAAGAGAAATTTTACACGATATTATGAACTCATTTTATTGGATTGGAAGGGGGAAAAAATCAGGAATCTGGCAGGAAAAATATATAAAAATTACAAAAAAAAAACCCATCTCAAAATAATATAAAATAAATACAGAAAGCATCTCTTCTATTTACACAGAAATAACCAGTTGGATGTAGAGGTGATCATACTGACTTCATAAGACGGTGGGATTTAGGACAGTCATGCTAACCTAAGTCCCACTGGCTTCATTAACACACGGGTTGTGGAAGAGCCACACTCGACTCTTAGGCGACCCCTGTGAAAGGGTCATTCAACCCCCAAAGAGGTCACGACCCACAGGTTGAGAACCGCTGATCTAAACTGACCGACGTCCCAACCTTAAATGTGATCAAAGCAAAGATGAAGGAAGACGTCAGAAAAGGGGGAAGAAAATTAAGAGATGGGGAAGAAAAATGAGCAGCCCCCAGATTTTCTGTAGACACTCATTTTAGTACTACTGAAAGTAAAACTGGTGTCTATGGAAAATAAATTTGAGAGTGGGGTGGAACCAAAACAGACAAGAATTAAGCACAAGAATTAAGCATTTGCAATTCTCTTTTTTGTCTCGCTCCTTCACTTAAGGGCTGGATGGTATTTCTACGAATCAGTCCAATCTCTCTAAACTACTGAAAAAGATACGAGGAGAGGGGGCTGATGTAGCTTAAAAAATGCAATCATCCCTGGAAGATTTTGTCTTTTCTCATTCACTTTGTGCCTGATAGGCAACGGTCGAAGCGGCCTGGTTTTGGGATCCTTGAACTTTGCCGTTCACGACGAGAAGCAGGGGAGACTCTACCCGGAGACCAGAAAAAGTAAAACTCTGAAAAGCAAAGGGGCAGGGGGGAAGAACGAGCACAAAGAATTTTAGGTCATGTGAGATGTTTTAAAAGAACATCAGCATAAGTATTATTATTTATTTGTTACACGCATTTGCTGCCCATTTCACTACAGAGCTACTCTAGGCAGCTTAAATAATAAAATGAAAAGAAAAATGAGAAGCAAAGCTACTCCTCAATTTACAACCAAAATTCAGCCCAACATTTCCATTGCTAAGCGAGGCAGTAGTTAAATATAAGATCATCATCATCTCCTTTTAATGAGCCCATAATCCTTTATGGAGTGGAATTGGGGTTACTGATTGAAGCAGAGTGTTTATTGGCCCAGATGCCCTTCCTGTCGCCAATGCGGAATTTTATTCAGCAGATCACGTGAATGGTGATCACTGGCGATCACCATTTGTAATATCCCCAGTCGCCTTTCAACAAGCAAAGTCAATGGAGGAAGCTGGGAAGTTTGCATGATTCACTTAACCGCAGTGATTCATTTAATGACTATGGTTAAAAAAAAAGAAAAAGTTGTAAAATCAGGCATGGCTCATTTAACAACTGCCTTGCTTAGCATCAGAAATTCTAGCCCTAATTGTGGCCATAAATTGAGGACTGTCGCTAATTCCCATTATTCCAAGTTTGAATGATGTTCAAACTTAATTGGAGCCTTCCAGAAATAACCTAAAACTTGTTTTTAGATTATTTGTGGAAGGCTCCGATTAAGTTTGAACATTATTCCTGGCACGACATAGGACAGACAAAGGGAGAAGTGGGGATCGACTCACTTTGTTCCGGTGTTGGATGTGATGGTGCCGAAGATGAGGTTCAGGGATGGCCACCGAGTCCCCAATTAGGACCCCCCAGCTTTGAACCATGTTGTAAACAGTAACAGCAAAACAGGGGCCTTCAAGAGAGTCCACCAATCCAAAGGTGCTATTGGAGAACAGAAAGTGGAAAAATTGAAATAAATTAATTATTGGCCCGTTGTACAAGTCAAGTCAGATGTATTCAATACAGATCTAGCATGGAATATACACTGTGCATTCCAGAAGTTACTAAGTCATAGTTTCTGACTTCTTTGATTTAAAAAAAAAGCCAATATCTATGTTTATTGCTTACTGGAAACCCCTTATGGACTTTATGCATAAAACAACAAATAAACTTAGGATGTATTTTCTGTTGTATGCATAAAGTCCATAAGGGGTTTCCAGTGAGCAATAAACATAAATACTGCCTTTTTCTGATCAAAGAAGTCAGAAACTATGATCAAGCCTGAAGTTCAACACTGCCTAATAGACATAGGCTGTGAAAGCCAACACAAGTTGATGATATTAAGGCAAACAAGGTTCAGAATACAATTCTATACTCACAAAGGCACTTTTTCCTCAGTAGTCAGGCTGAACAACACTTTCCCCAAGATCACTGTACCCGTGTTAACACCAGGTTGCAAGGCACTGAGGGATCGTCTCTGTAGTTCTACCTTCTGACCTGAAGGCCCTTGATAATGTCCATCACCACAAGGGCCCAGGTGGGAGGGACGCAAGCTTCCCAACATGCTTTGCAGCTTCTTGCCTTTCACCTTGCCCTAGGAGAGGAAAGAAGCAGGAACAAGACTTGTTGGCAGATGCGGCATTACCTAATAGAGGCAGGGGTGGGATTGAAAAATTTTAGCAATCGGTTCTCTGTCCGGTGGCTGGGTGGGCGTGGTCATTGGGGCACGGCCTAGTCGGCTTCCTGCACCACAGCAGGGGTAGGGAGTGAGTTTTCGCCCTCTTTCCTCAAGCCTCCGAGGAGGTGAAAACGACCTCCCCTGCACTCGAGGCCCTCCAGAGCCCAGAAATGGATCTGTTTCCAGACCTCTGGTACTTCCAATAGGCCCATTTTTTGCCTTCCCCAGGAGCCTGAGGTTTTTCTTGAGCCTCCGGGAGGGCAAAAACGGCCTCCGCAGTCTCCGGTGGCCCGCCAGAGGCTGGAAACAGACCCATTTCCAGATCTCCAGTACTTTTGGAAGGGCCGCTTTTTGCCCTCCCAGAGCTTCCATGCCAACCCTGCACTTACTTGCCATCCAAAACAGGCCGCGTGGAGACTTCTGGGGGGGGGGGGGGTTGGACAGGGTGAGCCAGTTCTTGAAACTACCGGTTCAGGAATCAGATTAAAATTAACATCCGGTTTGCCTGAACCGATCCGAATCGGCTGAATCCCACCCCTTGAAAACGAAGACACAAAAATCCCAAACTCTGCCGCCATACTACCTTGTTTTCAAGGAGTCCAGTTAGTCTCTCAAGGAAATCCATGAGTTGCTGCTCCCGTTGTTGAGGTTCAAGCCAAGTCGGGTCAAGCGTTACGGCCCGTGAAAACCCCTCCAAAGCTTCCATGTAGTTTTCTTCATACTTAGAAAGCTGCGCAAAAAAGCATGTAAAAACCATGGATTCAATTTGGGGCCAAAGTGATGCCTGTCTCTAGCATCCGAAAACTCAGCATCCTAATCCTAGTAGCATCCCAATAGCTTCAAAGTCCAAATCAGATCAGCAGGTGACGTCATGTCCAGATACTGAGATATTAGAACAAAGATCCACCCCTCCAAAAAAAATTTTAAAAAATTACAATCAACATCTTAGCCAATAGCCTTGGATCCCATTACATTTAGGAATTGCAAACTATGATCCTAAAGCTTTTCTTGATGGATCATTCATACATTAGCCAATTTCATGTGGGCTTCTCTATTCAATTTCCTTACCGTGGCTCGATTGAGATGCAAATCTGGATTACAAGAAGCAGTGGGGTCCACCTTTTCCTATTACAAATAAATAAATATAAAGTATGCATAATCAGCACTGCCAGGTAGATAAAGAACTACCGTATTTTTCAGAGTATAAGACCCACCTTTTTCCCTTTAAAAGAGGGTGAAAATCTGGGTGCATTTTATACACTGAATACAGCATTTTTGGCCTCCCAAAACCCTGCCCCCCCCTTGCAAAAATGGCCATGCATGGCCTTTAGGAGGCTTCCAGAGTGCTCCTGGGGGCTGGGGAGGGCATAAATGAGTGGATAATGGNTAGATAGATAGATAGATAGATAGATAGATAGATAGATAGATAGATAGATAGATAGATAGAGATTTCTAGCTATGTATGTATGTATGTATGTATGTATGTATGTATGTATGTATGTATCTACCTATATAATCTGCCTATATAAAAGTGCACTATTCTATCAAAACGAATGGCTATAATTCACTGGTCTAGACCTTGGTCGTGAGAATAGGGCCTTTTTCCTTCTGGGTCTTTTAAATTTGAATGTAAATCATTGGTTTTCACGTACAAAAATAAGCCAAACAGTTTGGAAGGAATAGAATACGGTGAAAGTATGCAGAATACACTGAAAGTAAAATACTACTGTGGGATATACAAAAGTAGGATCCTTAAAGAACAGAAATGTCAGTTGCATTTGAGATATTGTTTAACACACTACTACTACTATATCTCTTGTCCATGGTTTCTTTTACTGTTGTTTATAATTGTTCTTAATTTTTAGATTCTCCAGCTTGTTCTGTTTGTTAAAGACTTTTTTTACAATTTCTGAAAAAAAAATCGTTATTAATAAATTGACTTGAAGCCAAATAAACATCTGATGATTATTCTATTTTAGATTAAGAATTCTGATAGATAAAATGACAAGGTTATGATCAATAATCATCTCTTGGTATCATACTGTGACCAAATCCCTATTCAGTGCTAAGCCACCATGTGCTTTTCTTTGTATTGATATATTTTGTTGGCTGCACTTAAATCCATGTGATTTGTAGGCCATAGTTTTTGGGTTAACACGTAAAAAAAACTAAATGTGTTTTTCAATACACCATAGTTTTAAACAATGACTTTCAATGGAGATGTTCAACTTGGTGTAAAATTCCAAAACCATCTTGGAGAATTGCTTCTGAACTGTAATTTTTAAGTGGCTAAACGAGAAAAGTATAAATACAGGATTGATCAAATGTAAAATGTGTTTTACAGAATTACACAACGATAAAAGTTGGAAGGGACCCTGGAGGTCTTCAAACCCCTGCTCAAGCAGGAAACCCTATACCATTTCAGACAAAAGGCTGTCCAATCTCTTTTAAAATAGTGATAGCAATTAGCAATTATATGCTGCTTCATAGTGCTTTTACAGCCCCTTCTAAGCAGTTTACAGAGTCAGCATATTGCCTCAAACAATCTGGGTCTTCATTTTACCCACCTCGGAGGGATGGAAGGCTAAGTCAACCTTGAGCCTGTTGAGATTCCATCTGCCAAACTGCTGGCAGCCGGTGATCACCAGAAGCAGCCTGCAGTACTGCACTCTGACCACTGCACCATCGCAGCTAAAACCCTCCAGTGTTGGAGCATTCACAACTTCTGGAAGCAAATTGTTCCATTAATTAATTGTTCTAGCTGTCAGGAATTTTTTTTTAATTCTAGGTTGCTTCTCTCCTTGATTAGTTTCCATCTATTATTTCTTGCACTGCCTTCTGATGCTTTGGAGAATAGCTTGACACCCTTTTCTTTGGTTCGTAAATGTTTTGCAAGATCCAATCTGGGTTGGTTACCGGGACAAAAGGTTTTGTCTTCCGAGTTTTCAGACTCATGTAGGAGCCTATGTTCAAGGAACTTCTTTCGAAAGAAGACATATGAAGCTTCTACCTCCGGTGATCTACCCAAGTTAGATTTTGCAATATTATCCTGGGACACATATATTTGCCTTTATTCATATATGTTTTAGGCTCTGGCCAGAAAAAGTAGCAATCTTGCTTTAGGAGATTATTTAGCAGATTTGTACAGGTTAGCCCTCAATTTTCAACCACAACTGAGCCCAAAATTTATGTTGCTAAGTGAGAAATTTTTCAAGTGAGCTTTGCCCCATTTTTACGACTTTTCTTTTCCACATTTGTTAAGTGAATCACTGCAGTTGTAAATTAGGAACATGGTCGTTAAGTGAATCTGCTTGTCAGAAGGTCGCAAAAGGGGATCATGTCATCCAGGGACACTGCAACCATCGTAAATGTGAGTCAGTTGTCAAGCATCTGAATGTAAATCAGGTGATCGTAGGGATGCTGAAATGGTCATAAATGTGAAAAAATGGTCATCTCACTTTTTTCAGTTCCGTTGTAACTTTGAACAGTCACTAAGTGAACCATTGTAACTCGAGGACCACCTGTTTGATAATGTAAAGTCACCAAGGCTTTGTCTCCTACCCAACAGAGGTGGAAGTTCGGAGGACCGGAAAATATCATCCCCCTCCCCCCTATATTCACTGCCTTCCGAGTCCCAGCTGATTGACTTCCGAGTCCCAGCTGATTGGGTGGGTCTTCTTTTGTTGCCTTGCATGGGAGAACTGAGCTGGAAAGCAAGTTAGTGGGGTGGGGAGGGAATGGAGATTTTGCAGTATCCTTCCCCCAGGAGTGGAGTAGAAATGAAGATTTTGCATTATCCTTCCACCAGGATGGAGAGGGAATGGGGATTTTGCAGTATCCTTCCCCCTGGAGTGAGGAGGGAATGGAGATTTTGCATTATCCTTCCCCCTGAAGTGCAGAGGGAATGGAGATTTTGCATTATCCTTCCACCAGGTGTGTGGAGGGGGAATGGAGATTTTGCAATATCCTTCCCCATGGAGTGGGGAGGGAATGAAGATTTTGCAATATCCTTCCCCCTGAAGTGCGGAGGGAATGGAGATTTTGCAGTATCCTTCCCCCTGAAGTGCAGAGGAAATGGAGATTTTGCATTATCCTTCCACCAGGAGTGGGGAGGGAATGGAGATTTTGCAGTATCCTTCCCCTGCCATCCCTAAGCTGCACCACGACCACCAAGCCACGCCCACAGAATCAGTAGTAAAAACTTTTGAACCCCATTACAGCTGCCCAAGTACAAGAACTGAGTTTGTCCTTGGCAAAACACTACAAAGTAGTTTTCATAAGCAAATTGTTAGTCATCTTTAATGGCAGGAAACAGGGAGTTATTCTGGTCTTCTTCCTAAAATAAAAATGTAGATAAGAGATTCAGAAGTCTCCATTATTTTCCCCTGGCATTTACTTGTTACATTAGTCCAAACGCTGCCACTTTCTCAAGGGAGAGAAAAAGAAACAAGAGTTAAACTAATTAAAGAGAAAAAAGCATGTTGGCATCATTAAGCAGAAGTACATTTGAACGTGGGCCTTTGAGCTCTCCTTCGGGAGCCAATTAAAACTGCCAGCTTTGTACAGCAACTTATCATTTCCTACAGAAACAAGCCAAGCAATTAAACAGCAAACAGTGTTTGCATTTAAGAATTGCGGAAAGGTTATAGCAATGTTACCTTTCTCAACTGGAAAACATAGTTGAGGAGGAATCTGTTCATACATATCAGTGGTGGGTTTCAAATTTTTTTAGAACCTATTCTGTGGGTGTGGCCTATTTTGTGGGTGTAGCTTGGCGGGTATGGACAACTTGACATCATTCATGCACACTCAATCATGTGACCACTACCCCAAGCCTTGTGGCATTTTTGGGTGGGGACTCCTATGAAAGGGGAGGAGGAAGAGAGGGGGAAACCTCCTAAAAATAGACAACTGGAGGATTAAGGGCCGAAATTAGGGAGATCGGAGAAGACAAGACAGAGGGGAATCCAGTAGAAAGCTATCGCACACTGGGGAAAAAACTTTGGGAAATTGGAGGAGGCAGGACAGAGGGGAATCCAGTAGAAAGCTATCACATGCTGGGGAAAGAACTTTGGGAGATCGGAAAAGGCAGGAGAGAGGGGAATCCAGTAGAAAGCTATCGCACTCTGAAGAAAGAACTTTGGGAGATCGGAGGAGATAGGCAGAGGGGAATCCAGGAGAAAACTCCTGAGCTTGCCACTGCTGTCTGGTGGATTGTGCCGCTGGATCTCTCCATGCTTCTCTGTTCACCACCTCCACTCCCAGGTATGAGACTTGACACCGAATTCAGCTAGGATAGTGCGGACGGGCAGGGGGAGCGAGTGATGGAGCTGCTTCCGGATGGGCGGGGGTGACGAGCAAATGACAGGGCTGTGACAGGCGTTCCGGAAGTTACTTCTGGGTCCACCGGTCGAACCTCTCTCACCGGATCGGTAAATTTCACCATCCAGTTCTCCCAAGCCTGTGTGAACCGGCAGAAACCCACCACTGATACATATGCTAGTTAAGGAATGGATACTAGGCTGGATTTTACGTCAAATTAAACAGTGGAGACTCCGAATTTAGATGTTATGCTAAACCATGGTTTGGTTAACCGTAATTTATTTATTAAATGTATGCCAGCCACCTCATGACTAAATAAGCAGTAAATGAATTTGCAAAGTAAACTGTATGTATATACAGAGTGTGCTGCTAAGGGTTCACTGTAGCATCATATGGGAGAACCCATAGCTAACGTTATGACTCGTTTGAAGAACCTCTAAATCCCACCCCTGGTTGGCCCCACCCATCCCATCCTGTCCCACCCCATCCCAGGAGTCTCCATGTGGCCCATTTTGGATGTGAGGTAAGCTCTGGGGAGAATGGGCCTCCCAAATGTTTCAGAAGACCAAAAACAGGCTCATTTATCAGCTCCAGAGGGTCTCCGGAACCTGTGGGAAGCGGCTTCCATCCTCCCAGAGGCTCGAGGAGCCTGAGGAAGGCGAAAATGCCCCCACCTGCTATGGTGCAGAAGGCCAAGTAGGCCACGCCCACTATGGCTACACCCACGCAATGAGCAGAGAACCCATTGCTGAAATTTTTGAAGCCCCCCCCCCCCGTGTATATACATGTATAAAAGAAACACC